TGGCAGATTCCAAATGCTGGCTATCTAGGTTACTTCACTGAATTCCTCTATGTTCTTCTTGCTGGGAACTTTTTATTTTTAACAATTTTTATTTTATTTATTTATTTATTTATTTATTTTTTAATTTTTTGACAGGCAGAGTGGACAGTGAGAGAGAGAGACAGAGAGGAAGGTCTTCCTTTGCCGTTGGTTCACCCTCCAATGGCCGCCTCGGCCAGCGCGCTGCGGCCGGCGCACCGCGCTGCGGCCGGCGCACCGCGCTGATCCGATGGCAGGAGCCAGGTACTTATCCTGGTCTCCCATGGGGTGCAGGGCCCAATTACTTGGGCCATCCTCCACTGCACTCCCTGGCCACAGCAGAGAGCTGGCCTGGAAGAGGGGCAACCGGGACAGAATCCGGTGCCCCGACCGGGACTAGAACCCGGTGTCCCGGCGCAGCAGGCGGAGGATTAGCCTAGTGAGCCGCGGCGCCGGCCAACAATTTTTGATTAACATGTAATACATATTCATTTTTGTGGGGTACAGTAATATCTGAGTGAAGTGATCAAATCAAGTAGTTAGCATTCCTATTTCCTTACTTCTTTATGGTTGGAGCGTTACAGCACCTCTCTTCTAGTTCTTCATAAACTGGATATATAATACGATATTGTAAACTAGTCAACCCCCTGTTCTGTGGAACATTAGATAGACTCTTTCTATCTGTGTTTCTGTTATCTAACCTCTGTCCTTTCTCCCCTCACAAACCCCAGCCTCTAGTAATCACTACTCTTCTCACAGATTTCTTTCTGCTTCCATATATAATAGTACTTGAAAAGTGTGGAAAATGGAATTAAAAAATAAGTTTATTTTGAAAACATTTTGAAATACATACATACGAAGCATCTTCCAAAATTTTATTTTGATTGCATTTCAAATCTTTTTGCACAACAATAATTTTTTTTTTTTTTTGGACAGGCAGAGTGGTCAGTGAGAGAGAGTGACAGAGAAAAAGGTCTTCCTTTGACATTGGTTCACCCTCCAATGGCTGCCGCGGCCTGCACGCTGTGCTGATCCGAAGGCAGGAGCCAGGTGCTTCTCCTGGTCTCCCAAGGGGTGCAGGGCCCAAGTACTTGGGCCATCCTCCACTGCACTCCCAGGCCACAGCAGAGAGCTGGCTTGGAAGAGGGGCAACCGGGACAGAATCTGGCGCCCCGACCGGGACTAGAACCCGGTATGCCGGCGCTGCAAGGCGAAGGATTAGCCTAGTGAGCCACAGCGTCGGCCAATAAATATTTTATAATTCTATTTTTCTATGAACTTCTTGAAGTATTCAGTATGTGGTGTTTATTTTTCTGCATTTGCTGATTTTTGTTAACATATTCTAGTTATATCCACTTTGCTCCAAATTATACTTTCCTTTTTATGGCTGTATTATGACAATTATGAAACAAAGATTAAAAAAATAAGGGGCTGGCATTGTGGTGCAGTGAACTAAGCTGCTGCCTGCAAAGCTGGCATTTCATATTGGAATACAGGTTTGAGTCCTGGCAGCTCTGCTTCTGATCCAGCTCCCTGCTAATACACTGGGGAAGGCAGTGGAGGATGGCCCAAGGTTCTTGGGCCCCTGCCACCCAAGGAGAGCTGGATGGAGTTCAAGGCTCCTAGCTTAGTCCTGGACCAGCCCTGGCTTTTGTGGCTATTTGGTGAGTGAAACAGTGGATGGAAGCTTTGTCTCTTTCTCTCCTTCTCCCTCTATCATTTGGCCTTTCAAATAAATAAGTAACTACTTTTAAAAAAGAAAAGAAAGATACAAAAAAAGGTCTCTCATATACATGGATTAGAAGAAATAATACTTTTTTTTTTTTTGACAGATAGAATTAGACAGTGAGAGAGAGAGAGAGACAGAGAGAAAGGTCTTCCTTCCATTGGTTCACCCTCCAAATGGCTGCTACGGCCGGAATTACGCCGATCTGAAGCCAGGAGCCAGGTGCTTCCTCCTGGTCTCCCATTCGGGTGCAGACGCCCAAGCATGCGGCCATCAACCACTGCCCTCCTGGGCCACAGCAGAGCTGGACTAGAAGAGGAGCAGCCGGGACTAGAACCCGGCGCCCATATGGGATGCCAGCACTGCAGGTGGAGGATTAACCAAGTGAGCCATGGCGCCAGCAAGAATGTCATTGGTATTATGATGGGAATTTCACAGAATTTGTAAATCACTTTGGTTAGTATGGACATTTTAAAAGTATTAATTCTTGGGGGCTGCACTCGCATGGGAGACCAGGAGGAAGCACCTGGCTCCTGGCTTCAGATCCGCGTAGTTCTGGCTGTAGCAGCCATTTGGAGGTGAACCAATGGAAGGAAGACCTTTCTCTCTGTCTCTCTTTCTCACTGTCTAACTCTGTCAAATAAAAATAAAATAAAATAAAAAATAAAAAAATACCAGTGACATTCTTCATAGAACACAAAAAAATTATCCTAAAATTCACATGGAATCACAAAAGACTCCAAATAGCCAAAGCAATCTTGAACAAAAAGAACAAAGCTGAAGATATCATGATACTTGATTTAGTGACACACTACAGAGTTATAGTAACCAAAACAGCATGGTACTGGCATAAATTCAGACACACAGAGCAATAGAACAGATGGAGATCCCAGAAATAATCTCCAAATCTATAATTAATGGATTCTCGACAAAGGCACCAAAACAAAATGCTGGAGAAAGGATAATTTCTTCAATAAACAGTGCTGTGAAAATTAGAGATCCATGTGTAGTTTACTGTTTACCTTTCACTCTATAGAAAAAGCAACTCAAAATGGATTTTAGACCTAAATGTAAGACCTGAAACTACCAGAATAAAACAAAGGAGAATCACTTCAAGGCATTCAGAATAGGCAATGATTTTTTTTTTTTGTGTAAGACCCCCAAACACAGTGCAATAAAAATAAAAACAAATGAGATTGTGGGGAGCAACTGGGAGCAACTCGGACTAGACTAAGTTACTGGAATTAAGACTTATTCTATGCATCTGCTCTCCCACAATATGGCGCTGGGAGAGGAGGAAACAGCTTCTACACAGCTGCCTCCAGTTCAACCAATAAACTGTAGGACCTGCTCCTGATTGCAGGAGAGCAGCGTACTCGGCGTGTGGGCAGCCGAGTTGGGATTGGTGGAAGAGGACTATAAAGGAGGAGAGAGACAACATGCACCAGGAACATCTATCTGAAGGAACACCTGTGCAGCCCCCGAGAGAGCCAGCCGGCGGTGTGCTGCTCCCCCGCGGAAGTGGGGAAAGTGGCAGGGGGAACCGCACTTCCACGGAGGTGGAAGGGTCGGTAGCCAACCCGGGAAGAACCAGCAGCAAACCCGGGGAGGGCCGAGCAGACAAAAGAACAGCGCAGGGTCCTGTGTCCTTCCTCCACGAAGATGGGGAGCGACAGAGATTATGTTAAACGAAGAAGCTTCTGCATAGCAAAGGAAACAACGCAGTGGAAACAAACTGCTGGGAACTTCAGGCTGCAACTTTAGCCCTAATTCACACAGGTTCTTTTTCTACTGTGGTCACTTTAAGTTTTTTTTTTTTTTTTAAGAATCTCTTCTATGACGTTTACATCTTGTTCTTTGGAAACATGTACTATCTCTACTATAGTCTTTTCTCTGCCACCAGCATCTCTCTTGGATTTTTTAAGGTGAGATGAGGTCCAAGTGCCAACATCATCCAACTCCAGGGGGTATTTATAAAGTTATCTTAGTCATTCTCTGAAATCCTCTTCACTTGATTGAGGAGGAGGCAAAATATCATACCTCTGTAACTCTCTTGTTAAAGAAAGCTTAACTATCAATCTTCCTTATTAATCTCAGCTTCCTCTCAAATATGCTCAAGGTGGGCAATGAGCTAAGGATCTCAAAACTGGCTTCACAATTTTGTTGGAGCCTGCCATATTAAATGATTTGGTACTTAATGATCTCTCTTTGAGGTTTCTGCTAGTTTAGAAAAAGTCACACTACATGCATATTTTAAATAAATGCCATTAAGTTACCATTTGTTTCTGCTAGTTTAGGAAAAGTCACACTACATGCATATTTTAAATAAATGCCATTAACTTACCATTTTAGTTTTCAGCTCTTGTTTTATATTTAGCATGGTAATAGAATTCAAAATAATTGAGTTCTCCATGACTAAATAGTTAAAAGGATTCTAGTAATCTTAATATTTCATGTGGTCTATTTTAAAAATTAGAAAAAAACTAACAGAAATAAAAAGTTCTTCCACTACTCCAGAAGTATGAAAGAATATGACTTTATGTGTGAATGCAATAGACAAGAGGTTGGCATTTTTTTTTTTTTCTGTAAAGGGCCGGAGAGTATTTAAAGATGATCAGAACACTCTTACAACTATTCAACTTCTCCACCATAGCCCAAAAAGTCATAGACAATACATAAACAAATGCTGCAGTGTTCCAATAATGCCTTATTTACATGAACAGGCTCCTTAGCTGTATTTGCTACAGTTTGATAACCTTGCTGTAGTGGTCTGGCATTACAGTTCACTTATCTCCAATCTCTCAATAAAATTAATGAAGATTGCTAATTAACTAAGAGAAACTGATATATACATATGTTATATATACATATATTTTATAATATGTCACCAATTTTAACATACATTATATTAAATATAATGACAAGAACCTGACTTAATGTTAACAGTAATAAAAAAAAATCATCCTGTGGTCCGATACCTGTATCTTACTTTTGGAATTATTGCTAAAGACTTTTAGATTAACTGTTAGTCAGTGAACAAACTGATCTCATTATATTTGGTGAAAGGAAGCAAATGGTCCATCTTTTTGTATAACATTACTTAGTTTCCTCAAAAAAAAAAAAAGAAAGATTCTGCTAGCAAGGTTTAGCTAACTCTTTTTAATTAGCAGAATATTTGCACAAGCAAGAAAAATAAAGACTTACAAGAGAAATAACTCAAAGTATCACAGCATTTTAATTTCAATTTAATATTTACCTGGTAGTGATATGCAGGTTGCTGATAAACAGGCTGAGCTACCATCACAGGGGAACTAGATATAGAACGTGACTATAAGATGAAGGAAAAATAGAAAAATTATGTACAAATTCTAAAAAATGTCTCATTAATAAAATTTATCTACAATTGTTGTCTAAACCAAGTCAACCTATGATTTATGTACAGAAATGCTATTTTTAAAACTCTTAATGATATTATCAACTCTACTTAAGTCTTTTTATTAAAATCATCAGAGTACTCCTACATTCATGTGGTTTCACGCCCATGGTAATGCCAAAAACAGTCACTAGAAATTTACTGCCTCCAAAGATTCTAAGAGAATAGTTAGAGGAAAATGGCATCTGGACTTAGAATAATAATTCTTGAATTCACTGTGGAGACCAGCCATAGACAGTTAATGTTTACAATAGCAGTCAGAACTAAATGATTAATCATATCTGATTTTCCTGCTGACTTCTCACTACTTACAAATAATCAACATTTCATTCCCACAGTATGTATTTAATTAAAACAAATACTTATTTACTGAAGCTCTTGTCAAATTCTGTTATTTCAGTAAATGGACAGTTAAATAAGTCAATTATGTAATAAACTTATAAGTGATGTATCTATATCTGAAGAAAGTACAAGTAACAATTGATTACTCAAAGTGATAGAGCAAGTCCAATAACAAATTACTTAAGACCAGATCATTATTATTTTTTTTTTTTTTTGACAGGCGGAGTGGACAATGAGAAAGAGAGAGACAGAGAGAAAGGTCTTCCTTTGCCGTTGGTTCACCCTCCAATGGCCGCGGTGGCCGGCCCACCAGGCTGATCCAATGGCAGGAGCCAGGTACTTATCCTGGTCTCCCATGCGGGTGCAGGGCCCAAGCACTTGGGCCATCCTCCACTGCACTCCCTGGCCACAGCAGAGAGCTGGCCTGGAAGAAGGGCAACCGGGACAGAATCCGGTGCCCCGACTGGGACTAGAACCTGGTGTGCCGGCGCCGCAAGGCGGAGGATTAGCCTAGTGAGCTGCGGCGCCGGCCAAGACCAGATCATTATTAAAACAGGCAAATTGTATTGCAAATGGTAAAAATAGCTCTAAAAACAGCAGTTAAAAGCCAATTTCTATAAAGGATCTAACTTACATTGTTTTGTTTTAGTGTTCACACCTTCAAAACTTACAGTTTTGTAAGATTCACAGACTAATGATATGCTAATAAAACTGTACTACACATTAACTAAAAAATAACGTAATCTACTAAATTAGTGAATTAAAGCAGGAAAAAACACTATAATATCAGTAGATACAGAAAAATGCACTTGTTAAAATTCAACACCATTTGTGGTTAAAAAACTCCTAGCAAACAAGCAAACAGTATAGAAAATAACCTCCTGAATTGTTTTAGGGCAATAATTCTTAACCATTAGTGATTTTTCCTACTTGAGAATATCTGGTAATTTTAGGAGACATTTCTGGTTACCTTAACTATGGGGAGGTTAGGGACATTTCTAAATATCCTTCAATTCACTGGATAACACTCTACAACAAAGGAATCATCTGGACCAAAATGTCAATAGTGCCAGTGCTGAGAAACTGGTTGAAAGTATTTACCAAAGCTTATAATGTATGTGTATGTCTCTCTGTGTGTATATGCAAATACATATATATATGTATTTGTATATACATTAAGCTTAAGGGTGAATCACCTGAACTTTTTCCTTTTTAAGAAAAAGGTCACAGAGCCGGTGCTGTGGCGCAGTGGGTTAACGCCCTGGCCTGAAGCACTGGCATCCTATATGGGTGCTGGATTGAGACCTGGCTGCTCCACTGCTGACCCAGCTCTCTGCTATGGCCTGGGAAAGCAGTAGAAGATGGCTCAAGAGAAGGGACCCCTGCACCTGTGTGGGAGACCCGGAAGTAGCTCTTGGCTTCGGATTGGCTCAGCTCTGGCCGTTGTGGCCAACTGGGGAGTGAACCATCAGATGGAAGACCTCTCTCTCTCTCTCTGCCTCTCCTCTCTCTGTGCAACTCTGACTTTCAAATAAATAAATAAAATATTTTTTTTTAAAAAAAAGGTGATGATGTTATAACTACATAAATACTATAGCAGAGAAATGGGCAGTGCAGTAACTGGAGGGATAAATAATGAGAAACAAAAGAATATAAAAATATAGATGTATAATGAATTATAAATGATTTTTATTTATTTGACAGGTAGAGTTATAGACAGTGAGAGAGAGAGAGAGAGAAAGGTCTTCCTTCCATTGGTTCACCCCCGAAATGGCCGCTAAGGCCGGAACCACGCCGATCTGAAGCCAGGAGCCAGGTGCTTCTTCCTGGTCTCCCACGTGGGTGCAGGGGCCCAAGCACTCAGGCCATCAACCACTGCCCTCCCGGGCCACAGCAGAGAGCTGGACTAGAAGAGGAGCAGCCGGGACTAGAACCTGGCGCCCATATGGGATGCCAGCGCTGTAGGCAGTGGATTAACCAAGTGAGCTATGGTGCCAGCCCCATAAATGATTGTTTAAATGAAATTTTGGCAGCGTTATATTATCAACATTGAAAAATCAGGCCGGCGCCGCGGCTCACTAGGCTAATCCTCCGCCTTGCGGCGCTGGCACACCGGGTTCTAGTCCCGGTCAGGGTGCCGGATTCTGTCCCGGTTGCCCCTCTTCCAGGCCAGCTCTCTGCTGTGGCCAGGGAGTGCAGTGGAGGATGGCCCAGGTAATTGGGCCCTGCACCCCATGGGAGACCAGGATAAGTACCTGGCTCCTGCCATCGGATCAGCGTGGTGCGCCGGCTGCAGCGCGCTGGCCGCAGTGGCCATTGGAGGGTGAACCAACAGCAAAGGAAGACCTTTCTCTCTGTCTCTCTCACTGTCCACTCTGCCTGTCAAAAAAAAAAAAAAAAAAAAAATCAAAAGCATTACCATGCATTAGCCTGAAACTCTTAGGATATGTTATTTTTAAGAAAAATTAGCATTTATAAGAGTATAAAAAACTATAGTATACTAAGAATAAATTCAGCAGATGTGTCAAACTTTTTTTTATGGAAAAATAGAACATTTTTGATGGTTGGAAAAAAAGAAAACAAATGAATGGAGAGATGTATCATGTTCACAGATGGGAAGAGTCAGTATTATAAAGCATTTAATGTCCCCAATTAATCTATGTATTTAACGCAACTCTAATAAAAGCCTAATTGATGCTTTCCACAGAACTGAACAAGCTGAATTACAAAATTTATACTTATAAAACAAAAACTTAAGGACAAAAGGCTGTCAAAGGAGAACAAAGAGTTTTTCCTATCAGATTTCTTTTCTTTTTTTAAAGATTTATTTATTTTACTTGAAAGTCAGAGTTATATAAAGAAAAAAGGAGAGGCAGAGAGAGAGAGAGAGAGAGAGAGAGAGAGAGAGAGAGAGAGGTCTTCCATCCACTGATTCACTCCCCAGTTGGCCACAATTGCCAGAGCTGAGCTGATCCGAAGCCAGGAGCCAGAAGCTTTTTCCGGATCTCCCATGCAGGTGTAGGGGCCCAAGAATCGGGCCATTTTCCACTGCTTTCCCAGGCCATAGCAGAGAGCTGGATCAGAAGTGGAGCAGCTGGGTCTCAAACCAGCACTCATATGGGAGCATATGGGATGCTGGCACTGCAGGCGGCGGCTTTACCAGTTAAGCCACAGTGCTGGCCCCTTTCCTATCAGATTTCAAAACTCATTATAAAGCCACAGCAATGAAAAGAGATGGAAACTTGGTATTTGACAGGAGATTCATTTCAAAACCATGATAAAAGTATGGACTAGTCAATATATAAATGGGGATTTAAGATTCAGATGTGGAAAGCAACAACACTGTACTATTTAAAACGTAAAATATATAATATATTTATTCTAGTAAAGAAGATTTTTTAAGACAGGACACTAGGAGTTGAAACCATAAAGGAAAAACATTTGTCAACATTAAAACAAAGAACGAAAAATTCATATTTTTTTAATGAGAAGAAACATAAAAAGACATGGTATAAACTGGGAGATTTTTATAACTCAGAAATTCATAGCTAAAAATCTAAAGGAAAAAGACAAATCATCCCAACAGAAAAATGAATAAAAAATATGAACGGGCAGTTCACAGAAAACTTGAATGGCCAAAAAATATATGAATAAATATATGAAATTGGAATGGCTAATAAATATATGAAAATATGTTCAGTCTTATCAATAAATAGGCAAATGAATAGAAAAAAACCCCACTGCATAATAGTATTGGCAAAAATGTAAAAAAATCCTGATTATTATAAGAGTTGGCAGATTATAGAGAAATCAGCTCTCATAATCTGTTTCTAGAATGTAAAGTGGCACTTGTAAAGCTATTTGGCAAAAACTAGTCAAAGATGTGCAAACATTGTGAATATGAATTCCAATGCAAATTTTAGGTTAGACCAGTATACAGTAGGGGAGCACAAAAATATTCCAGTGACACATGGGCATGAGTAATGTTAAGAGTACCAATCTGCAGATCCATCCATCTATGTCCTCCTTCCTGATTTGCTCTGCCTGTAAACCTTCTGTGTACTCTTTTAAAAACTCCCCTTTAACCATTACCTATTTCCTTTTTTTAAAAAAGCACATTTCTCGCTCATTCTGGATCTTACTATAATGCTTTGCTCTAGAATGTAAACAATTACACAATTCACAAAGGAAATACTCTGAGAAACAGGTGGAAGAAAAGCCAAAGAGTTTGTGTAAGTAATATTAAAGGGGGATGGTACCTTATTTTATCCAGGGAATAATCTTAAATTAGCTGAACATCACAGGGATACATATGAACTCATTTATTTGAGTTTAAATGTGAAGTTAGAATTTTCTAATAGAATGTTTTATTCAGTTTCATTTGACTAATTTTGTTAATTGAGTTACCAAGCAGACGCTTTCCATTATTAAAATATAGGCACAAAATTTTTGATAAAATATAATTAAAGAAAGTATGCAATTTATAATATGCTTAACCTATTTAAACACATGACAGATTTCAGCTACCAACTTAAAAATGAATGTGTATACTAATAATTTAAAAAATTTTAGAGCAATATAAGCAAAATCACTGTCCTACAAAAGCTTTCACATAATATACACAAGAACTAAATGTTCAATGGAGAGTTGATTGTAGAAAAAACTTTAAATGTCTATCAATAGATGCAAATAAAAATCATGGTAGTTATACAATAGAATATTATAAAATATCAAAATAGGTGAACTAGAAACATACGGATCAACATGGTATAATCCAAAAAATGGATCAACATGGTTTAATCTCAAAAACATATTGCTGAGTAGAAAAGCAAGATTATTTATATAACGTTTCAAAACCACCCAAAGCAATAATATATATTGCTTAAGGACACATATATGTTAGTAGTAAAAATATATCAAATGTGGGGGCTGGCGCCTGGCGCAGTAAGTTAATCCTCCGCCTGTGGCGCTGGCATCCTAAATGGGGGCCGCTTCTAGTCCCGGCTGCTCCTCTGCAATCCAGCTCTCTGCTATGGTCTGGGAAAGCAGAAGACGGCCCAAGTGGTTGGGATCCTACACCCACATAGGGGACCTGGAAGAAGTGCTTGGCTCCTGGCTTTGGATTGGCGCAGCTCTGGCCATTGTGGCCTTTTGGGGGAGTGAAACACCAGAAGGAAGACCATTCCAACTCTGTCTCTCCCTCTCACTGTCTGTAATTTTACCTCTCAAATAAATAAATAAAATATTTTTAAAAAAACATATCAAATGAGCCAGAAAGATATTCTAATTCTGAGGAGAAAAGAAGGATAAGGGAATGGGGATAAGTAGACTTCATCTGAATTTGTCCTATTTTACTCCGCTCTCCTTTAAAAAGATCTTACAAGGAAAATAATAACATCTGTTAAATTTGGGTGGTAGGGACATGTGTATTATGTCATTATTTGCATTTGTCTGTGACTGAAATATTTTAGAAATAAAACAAATATTTAAAAAATCTTATAGCAAGAGATGGAAACTCTTCTAATATGAAATTACTTACAGGCCAAGGTGGTGGGACAGAAGTTACTTCTGGAGTATGAAAATAAGCAACACCATTATGATAAGTGTAAGGATAGCCAGTTGAAGTTGTTAGGTACATTGTTCCAGCTGCTGGCATTATACTAGAACCTAAAGAAAAGATTAAATAATATTAATTGATATGTTCAATCTAACTTTTAAAAATATAATTTCTGAACACTGTTTGGAAAAATCTTGAGCTTGATACATCTACATAGCTTGTTACAATAAAAATTAAACATCACAAGTGTTTTTAAAGAAAATTCCATATGTTAAAATATCTTTGAAGCATGTATTTTACAACTTATTATCTTAGAACTTTTATTAGCTTATGGTGATTAACAGAAAAAGAAATCAGGTTAATAAGAAATATTAAAACCCCATCAATTCAGATTCTAACACCAGTATACCAGAAGAGTTTAACAATTTAGTTAACAGTTAAGTCACTATTTTTACAAACATAAATTATATGAGTATGTTTTAGTTATTTAAAGATTATAAAGACTGTAATTAAGTTCCTAGGATTTTAGCCAGACCTTTTTTATATTTTCCCCCCATTTAGATACAAGTTTATTTTTTCATTTTTATTTTTAAGACAACATAATTTAATGTACATTATAGTCAAAAGCTTAATGCTCCACTAAATAAAGACTTTAACAAGTAAACAGTAAAAAGACGATAGTTCAGTAGGAATATGGGCAAGGGTTATAAACAATAATCAAATGAAAAGATGTCAATTTCACTCATATACAGCAAATTTTAAAATGATCACAGACCATTAAATCTACATTTGATCTAAGCTAAAAGGCTGAGAAATGATCATTAAATCTATAGTATATCACTCATAATAATTTGACAAAAATATAAAACAAAGTAGGACAAAACACTGCAGCAATATCTATATACACAGGCATTTCTTTTTTTTTTTGTTTTGTTTTTTGAGCTTTTTAAAAAATATTTGTTTGAAAGGCAGAGTTTACCAAGAGAGCGAGGGAGAGACAGAAACACAAAGAGTGAGATATCACCCATCTGCTGGTTCACTCCCTGAATGGCTGCAATGGCTGGGTTGGGCTGATCTGAAGCCAGGAGCCAGGAGCTTCCTCTGGTCTCCTACATGGGTGGTGCCCAAGGACTTGGGACATCTTCCATTGCTTTCCCAGGCACATTAGCAGGGAGCTGAATTCGGAGGTGGAGCAGACAAGACTCAAACTGGTTCCCATATAGGATGCCTGTGTCGCAGGCAGTGGCTCTACCCACTATACCACAATGCTGTCCCCTGTTCTTAATTTTAAAAACAATTTTAGCTTCCACATGTAAAGGAGAACTTGCAGTATTTTTGTGTCGGCTTATTTCACTTAACATGATACCCTCCAATTGCAACCATTTTGATGCAAATGATAGAATTTCATACTTTTTAAATAGCTGAATAAATTCCATTGTATAAATACCATATTTTCTTTATTCATCTGATAACAGTCACCTTGATTCCATATTTTAGCTATTGTGAACAGTGCTGCTATAAACATTGTGGTACAAGTACCTCTTTGGTACAGTGTGTTCATTATACCTTTGATTTATTTTAAAAGTTCAGAGATGATGGAGGCAATGAAGTTGAAAAAGATTCTAAAGTCATTCCGTATCACTAATTCTTTAGGTCTACAATTAGCAAGCATTCATCCATGCTATGGCTCTCTTTTATCTCTCTGGTCTTCTTTTGCTACAATTGCTGCTACTGCAAACATGATCACAAGTGGCTACTTTGGGATCCTCTTCTCTCAGGCCAAGTTACATGGAAATAATCAAATAATTTTTTTGTGTCATGGGTACTTTAAAAGTTACATGAGCCAATTTGATTAAGAACTTCACCAGCAAAGCTATATAAATTACAAGAACTGACAAAGCTCCTTTCACAATACCAGTGCTTCTCAAAATTTGACATACATTATAATCCCCTAGCTACCGAAAATAAAAATTACACAGACCCATCTTCAGAGATTTTGATTCATTTAGTCTGGGGTAGAGTTTAAGAATTTTGATTTTTTTGGGCCCATGTTGGGGCATAGCAGGTAAAGCTGCTGTCTCTAATGCTAGCATCCCATATGGGCACCAGTTTGTGTTACTGCTACTCCACTTCTAATCCAGCTTCCTGATAATGTGCCTGGGAAGGCAATGGAGGTTGACCCAAATCCTTGGGCCCCTTTGCCCACGTGGGAGACAAGGAGGAAGCTCCTGGCTCCTGGCTTTGAATCTGCCCAGCTCCCGCTAATGCGGCCATTTGGGGAGTGGACCAGTGGATGGAAGATCTCTCTTTCTCCCCCTCTCTCTGTAACTCTGCCTTTCAAATAAATATATCTTTAAAAATTTTGATTTTGACAGCTCCCAAGTGAACAGATGTTATCTACAAATTTAAGCAGTACTAGACTATCACTTTTTTTTTTTTAAAGATTTATTTATTTATTTGAAAATCAGAGTTACACAGAGAGGGAAAGAGAGACGGGGCTGGGCCAGGCCAAAGCCAGGAGCCAGGAACTTCATCCAGATTTCCCTTTACTTTATTTTTAAAAAGATGGGGCTGGGGGCCGGCGTCATGGTTCACTAGGTTAATCCTCTGCCTGTGGCACTGGCATTCCATATGGGCGCCGGGTTCTGGTCCCAGTTGCTCCTCTTCCAGTCCAGCTCTTTGCTGTGGCCTTGGAGGGCAGTGGAGGATGGCCCAAGTGCTTGGGCCCTGCACCCGCATGGGAGACCAGGAAGAAGCACCTGGCTCCTGGCTTTGGATCAGCGTAGTTCCGGCTGTGGCGGCCATTTGGGGGGGTGAACCAAGGGTAGGAAGACCTTTCTCTCTGTCTGTCTCTCTCTCTCTCACTGTCTAACTCTATCTGTCAAATAAATAAAAAAAAATTAAAAAGATGGGGCTGGCATTGTGATATAGCAAGTAAAGCTGCTGCCTGCTTTCTCCAATGCCAGCATCCCATACAGGTGCCAGTTTGAGTTCCAGCTTTTCTATTTCTGTTATAGCTCCCTGCTATTGAGCTTGAGAAGGTAGAAGAGGATGGCTCGAGTTCTTGGGCCCCTGCACCCACATGGGAGACCCAGAAGGAGCTCCTGGTTTCTGGCTTTGGCCTGGTCCAGCCCTAACTGTTGCAGCCATTTAGGAATAAACCAGTGGATGAAAGATCTCTCGCTTCTTGTCTCTCCCCCTCTCTCTGTAACTATGCCTTTAAAAGAAATAAATATATCTTTTTAGAAAAATATTTGAAAAGCAGACTGACAAAGATATACACACACACAAACACAGACACACACAAGAGATATGGAGGGAGAGAGGTCTTCTATCTGCTGATTCACTTCCCAAATGTCTACAACAGCCAAGGCTGAATCAGGCTGAAGTGAAGCCAGGAGCCAGAAACTCCATTGGAGTCTCCTATGTGGGCGGCAGGAGCCCAACTACATGAGCCATCATCTGCTGCCCCCCAGGTGCACTAGTAAGGAGCTGTATTGGAAGTGGAGTAGCTGAGACAGGAATCAGGAACCCTGATGTGGGACGCAGGTGTCTCCAGTGGTGGCTTAACCTGCAAAGCCACAATGCAGCCCTAGCTTATCACTTTAAAAGTAGCAATATTACTTTTCACTGTGTTTGATGATCTAGCATTTTTACTATATATTTTAGCGGTTTTTAATTTGATTCTTTTGAGAATATAAAGAAATCCATGGACTTTTTTTTCACAAAAATATACATACATAGTCAATTCAAGAGGTTCATGGGTTCTCCACCCCCCGCCCCAACATTGATTCACAGATAAACCATGGATCATGAATGAACCATGATTTATCTGTGATAAATAAATTTTGATTGCATACTATTCTAAGTCATTAAACTAGGCCTTGGTGATATGGTGAAAAATAAAAAACAATGGACATAGTCTAGTCTCTATCCCTGTAGAAATTATGTTCCATTAGGGAAGATACAGTCATTAGCTAATCACATAAGCAACACATTAAGTACAATTTTGATGAAGACATGAAGAGGTAATATAGGTTGTCATACTGAACATTTCAATTATTTATATATACCCATATACTTATTAATCTCCCTTTTCTATATGGAACATTTGAGAAGAAATTACTATTTTTTATTTGAGAGGCAGAGAGAGAGAGAGAGAGAGAGAAACCAAGCTGTTATCCACTGGTTCACTCCTGAAATACCTGGGCTTGGCTCACGCCAAGAGTTGGAATTCAACCCAGGCCTCCTACGTGGGTAACATGAATTTAACCATTTGAGCCATCACTTGCTGCCTCCCAGGCTCTACATTAGCAGGAATGCTGGAATTGGGAGCTGAACTGGGATTTGAACCCAGGCACTCCAAAATGGGATGTAGATGTCTTAACCTTTAGGCCAAATGTCTGTACTGGAAATGATATTTGGTCTGGGCTTTAAAGAATTAATGGGGGAGGGGGGGCTGTGCTGTGGTACAGCAGGTTAAAGCCCCAGCCTGCAGCGCTGGCATTCCCATATGGGCATATGGGCACTGGTTCGAGTCCCAGCTGCTCCATTTCTTTCTTTCTTTTTTTTTTTAAGATTTATTTATTTATTTGAAAGTCAGAGCTACACACACAGAGAGAAGAAGAGGCAGAAAGAGAGAAGTCTTCCATCTGCTGGTTCACTCCCCAGTTGGCTGCAATGGTTGAAGCTGTGCTGATCCAAAGCCAGGAGCCAGGAGCTTCTTTTGGGTCTCCCACATGATTTGCAGGGGCCCAAGGACTTGGGCCATCTTCTACTGGTTTCCTAGGCCATAGCAGAGAGGTGGATCAGAAGTGGAGCAGCTGGATCTCGAACTGGTGCCTATATGGGATGCCAACACTGCAGGAGGCGGCTTTACCTGCTACGCCATAGCACTGACCCTGGCAGCTCCACTTCTGATCCAGCTCCCTGCTAATGTGCCTGGGGAAGCAGTGGAGGATGGCCCAAGTCCTTAGGCCCCTGTACCAAAAGTGGGAGACCCGGAAGAAGCTCCTGGATCCTGGCTTAGGATGGCTCAGGTCCAGCCATTGCAGCCACTTGGGGAGTGAACCAGGGGATAGAAAACTTCTCTCTGTCTCTACCTCTTTAACTCTGTCATTCAAATAAATAAAACAAATCTTTTTTTTTTAAAGAATGAATATGATGATAAAAAGCATTCTAGGGAAAGGAAACAGTGAATCAGAGAGTCCTGAGGTGTGGTTATGCTCTGGAACTAAGAGAAGGCTAGCCAGCTAAAGCATGAAAAGAAAAAAGAATAGCTCAAAATATGCTATGAATAAGATGTACACTTCTGTCTTGTAAATGATGGATTGGAAGGTAGTAATATTGTTTTCAGAGAGGACAGTTCTAAAAATTTTCTAGTAACCAAGGTAAGCCAAATGGATAGCTGGGCTGGTGTTGGCAATGGAAAGAAGGGACAGATTTGAGACAAAAATGTTAAGAACTGCTTATATTTTATAAATATGTTTAACATCTTTTTTTTCTTTTTTTGCAGAAAAGGGAAAAGAACTTTGGATTCAAACAATCTTGCGTTTGAAGGCTCATGTTAAGTTATTTAACTACACACTTCTCAAACTGGTTATGGGATGGCATTCCAGGAGATATGAAAAGCTACTGGCTGCTGGGGGGAGGGCTGGTGTTGTGACAGTGAGTAAAGCCTCCTCCTGTTACCCCAGCATCCCATATGGGCACTGGTTTGAGTTCCAGTTGTTCTACTTCTGATCCATCTCCCTGCTAATGGCCTGAGAAAAGCAGTGGAAGATGGACCAAGTGCTTAGGCCTGTCACCCACATGGGAGACCTGGAAGAAGCTTCTGGTTCCTAGCTTCATGGCCATCGGGGGAGTGAATCAGTACACAGAAGATCTCTCTGTCTCTTCCTCTCTCTCTGTAACTCTTTCAAATAAATAAAGAAATCTTAAAAATGAAAGAAAGAAAAGGTACCAGCTGAACATAGTGATTTTCCTATAGAAGCACTTTTATTCAAACAATTGCTTTTGGAAAAATATTTTTTTTTTATTTTATTTTTTTTTATTTTTGACAGGCAGAGTGGACAGTGAGAGAGAGAGACAGAGAGAGAAAGGTCTTCCTTTGCCGTTGGTTCACCCTCCAATGGCCGCCGCTGCAGCCGGCGCACCGCGCTGATCCGATGGCAGGAGCCAGGATCCAGGTGCTTTTTCCTGGTCTCCCATGGGGTGCAGGGCCCAAGCACCTGGGCCATCCTCCACTGCACTCCCTGGCCACAGCAGAGAGCTGGCCTGGAAGAGGGGCAACCGGGACAGAATCCGGCGCCCCAACCGGGTCTAGAACCCGGTGTGCCGGCGCCGCAAGGTGGAGGATTAGCCTATTGAGCCACGGCGCCGGCTTTTGGAAAAATATTTTTATATTCGAAAAACAACATGATATTATAGAACAGAATGCAAATGTGCATAAAGTTTTTATATAACCATGAGACTTTAAAAATACTTTGCAATTCTAATATGCTGCTTTGGGTTGACATAGCATGCCCAGATGAACTCTCCTTTACCTTTATGAGTATTTCAGTAGGAACACTGTTCAAACAAAGACTTTACCTTTCTAAGACTGAATGTTACCTTTGTAAAAGTAGAGCTAATAATATCTTACAGGTTGCTGCAAAAATTAAATGAAATAAATAAAAATCTATAACACTGACTCCTGCATTGAATAGTTGTTAAAAACTATTTGTATTTTAGAAGCGTTTAGCATAGTACTGATTTATATTCTATTTTAGTAACTAGTGGTTCATAATATGAACATTATTACTTAGTACCTACTGTTGGTGATAATGGGCTAATGAACCATTACTACGTATTACAGCTTAACCATTTAATTAACAAGAGTAATCCAAAAATACTCAGCATTCTATCATATTAAGTATATCCTACTTTGTATTAACCTACTGGGGATACTTTGGTTAGCTCCTAAATTAAAAAACACCAACTTAAAAATAAACAGTATCTGTTAACTTCTAAGCTAAAGGCAGAACAATACAAGTGAGCACAATTTATTAATTTATTAAAAGATGTTTAATAACTAGCTAATGTTTTACATATCCCAGAAGATACTGGGATGAGGTTAAGGAAAAGTAAAAAGTTAGTTATTAATTTTATATGAGGTATTTCCTTCTAGCCAAAGACTTCATTAAACATTTTAATAACTATAGAGAAAACAGTACTATAAAATTGTCCAGTTTAATAAATGGGAAGAGAGAGAAAGGAACAGAATTGAAAGCATTACCGAAAGTAAAGCTTAAAACTTTAGGGATTGTTCCCTTTGATAATTATGACACATGTGTTTGGGTTACAATACATGGTAATGCAGCCAGTTTTGATATTATTTCTATTATTTTAACTTTCAGCATTTGTACTTTAATTTTAAATGATTTTTCTGATTAGAAAATTTTCTAAATAGTAATTTTAAATTACTAATAATTTTCATGATATTTTAATCAGAAAATACTTTTGCTTCAAAGATATAACTGTATGAAATATACTTAAGCATTATTGTGTAAATTTTTCCCTAGGAAAAACCCCTGTGATATATAGCTTTGTAATATGAAATATGAGGATACTTCAAAAAGTTCACAGGAAAACTGAATGGAAACATTAAATTTATGTTAATGCAAAAAATTTTGATGTTCATGCATAGTTACTTCTTGGTACACATCATATTTTCCATGAAGGCCCCTCATATTAATTTGACCAGCAACTTGGATAAAATAACTATATTAAATGATAGAAGCATGACATTTTAATAAAGTTCTATAAAAATCTAGTATTTCCAAAAAGAACAATGCAAAAATATTGAAAAATACATTAGTTCTCAATACATACGAGGGATCCCTACTTGTTGTTTTCTTATTGCTGGACCAATGTTCAGTTTTTTATCCTTGTAATTAAGTTTTTCAGCCTAAAGTAAAGAAAAAAATAAATTATCTTAGGACTATTATTTATAAAACCAATAAGGAAACCTAGGGAGAAAATTTTTAACATTCAGACTATAGTGTTCTTTGAAAGATATAATGCCTAATGAAAAGAGCCAACTCTTTGAATTCAAACAGATCTAGGTCTGAATCTTGATTCCAATGCTCTTTCTCACTTTTAATACAGTCAAATACAGTCCTCATTATTCATGGATTTTGCATTTGTGAATTTTTCTATTCACTAAAACTTATTTGTAACTCCAAAATCAATACTCATTTTTGAGGCTACTAGAGGACATGTGCAGAGTGGTCAAACATGTGAGTAGGCTGATCTGCACATTCCAGGCTGAGGTAAAGGAAGCAATGTTCTTTCCATTTCAGCTTTTATACTGAAAATGTGTCCTCTTCAAGCTCTGTTTATTGGCACATTTTTCAGACTTTTTTTTGGAAGGGGGGGTTTGCCATTTAAAATGGCCCCCAAGTATACAGATGAAATGCTGGCTTGTGCTCCTAAGCACAAGACTGTCATGTGCCTTATGGAAAAAAATATGTGTTAGACAAGCTTAATTTAGGAATTAGTGCTGTTGGTGGTGAATTCAATGTTAATGAATCAACAATCTATTAAATATGGTGTCTTTAAATAGAAACACACACAGGATTATGTATTAATGACAGTTAATGCCAGTGTTGTGAGCAATGGTTCTGAGAACCTCATCTGTATTTTCTCTAGGAACAGCTCAGTATTTACTAATTCAGTATTTGTGGCAACTCCATAACTGTTACACATAACAAGAATCAGATGTATATGATTTTAATAATATGTAATTCTAATTCTACTTTGAGAAAAATTGTTAAAATTTTCACAACTTAAAGTTATTACACTGAACTACAGACTACAGATTTCTATGAATGCTCTTAGTTTATAAATTTATAAAGTTTTTGTGGCCAGTGTGGTGGCATAGTAGGCTAAGCCTCCGCCTCCAGGTGCCAGCATCCCATATGGGTGCTAGTTCATGTCCGACTGCTCCTCTTGTGATCCAGCTCTCTCTCTCTGTTTATGACCTGGGAAAGCAGTAGAAGATGGCCCAAGTGCTTGAGCCTCTGTACCCACTTGTAAGAACCAGAAGAACTCTTGACTCTTGACTTTGGATCGGCCCAACTCCGGCCATTGTGGTCATTTGGGGAGTGAACCAGTGGATGGAAGATTTCTTCTCCCTCCCCGCTCTGTCTGTCTGTCTGTCTCTCTCTGCCTGTGCCTCTCTGTAGTTTTTTCAATTAAAATAAATCTTTAAAAAATATTGTAATCGCTGTACCTTGAAAAATTAAAAAGCCATAAAAGTTTTTAAATTTGTGAAGCAGAAAAGCGAGATTATAGAACAAAATAAAAAGTTAAAATGCAAATTTCACTATATGTAATTATTAAGTATGTGATAAATGTAGGATTTTTAACCATTAGAGAAAGAAAGTCTTTTTCAATTGGTACTGCTTTCAAAAATCCATTAACTTCTTCAGAAATTTGACTACATTATGAAACTAGCAGCAGATTAAGTAATTAAAACTCAATGTTGATCTACTAGCTTATGAGTTCTAGGGATCATAACATGTGACTTTTCTTTCTTTCTTTCTTTTTTTTTTTTTTTGACAGGCAGAGTGGACAGTGAGAGAGAGAGACAGAGAGAAAGGTCTTCCTTTGCCTTTGGTTCACCCTCCAATGGCTGCCGCAGCCGGCGCGCTGCGGCCGGTGCACCGCGCTGATCCGATGGCAGGAGCCAGGAGCCAGGTGCTTTTCCTGGTCTCCCATGGGGTGCAGGGCCCAAGCACCTGGGCCATCCTCCACTGCACTCCCTGGCCACAGCAGAGAGCTGGCCTGGAAGAGGGGCAACCGGGACAGAATCCGGTGCCCCGACCGGGACTAGAACCCGGTGTGCCGGCGCCGCTAGGCGGAGGATTAGCCTAGTGAGCCGCGGCGCCGGCAACATGTGGCTTTTCCATCTTTGTGGCCTTATGGTGCTTTGCATAAATAGTAGGAGGAATACTTGAATTATTTTTTTATAGTTCCCTACCTATAGATAATAGCTTCAGTGCTCTTAATTATCTTTCTTTAAAAAAAATTTATTTGAAAGTCAGAGTTACAGAAAGGTAGAGAGAGAGAGAGAGAGAGAGAGAGAGAAAGTCTTCCATCCATTGGTTGATTCCCCAAATGGCTGCAAAGGCCAGAGCTGGGCTGATTCAAAGCCAGAAGCCTGTAGCTTCCTCTGAGTGTCCCACACAGGTGCATGGGCCTAAGGACTTGGGTCATCTACTGCTTTCCCAGGCCATAGCAGAGAGCCAAATCTGAAGTGGAGCAGCCAGGCTATGAACCGGGTCTGACATGGGATGCCAGCACTGCAGGCAGTGGCTTTACCCTCTATGTTACAATGCTGGCCCTGAATTATTGTTGAACTTACTTTTATGAGTATGTCCAGCTCTCCGCTTATAGCCTGGGAAAGCAGTAGAAATGGCCCAAGTGTTTGGGCCCCTGCACCCACATGGGAGACCCAGAAGAAGCTCCTGGCTCCTGGCTTTGGATCAGCACAGCTCTGGCCTTTGTGGCCATTCGAGGATTGAAGCAGCGTATGGAAGACCTTTCTCTCTGTCTCCCCCCATCTCTGTCTGTGACTCTACCTCTCAAATAAATAAATGAAATCTTATATACACACACACACACACACACACGTATGTATATATATATACATATATAAAAAGTTTTTTGTGGGAGGGAAATAATTTTAGGTAATTGCATTCTAGGAATTCGTGTTTACAGTGTTTTTTTAGGAATTCAAAATGCTATTAACACTTCAAAAAAGATACCAGGGTACTTTGAAAAGTTCATGGAATATGCAATTAAAAGATAATGCAGGAATGGGTATTTGGTGTAATGGTTAAGATGCTGCTTTGGATACCCAGATCCCCTGATAACCTGATTTTTCTCCTGATTTCAGCTTCCTGCTGATATACACCATAAGAGGCAGTAGGTGAAGGCTTAGATAGTTAGGTTCCTGCAGTCCAATGGGTATCTGGATTGAGTTTCTGGCTTCTGGTTTTAGCCTGGCCCAGCCCCAGCTGTTGTATTTGGGGAGCAAACCAGTGGATGAGAAATCTCTGCCTTTCAAATTAATAAATGAAAATTAAAGAGTAGATAATGCACATTTTCTGTGAACTTTTTGAAGCACCCTTGTAAATCCCTAAGTTCTTAGTTTAAAAGCAAAATAAAGGGAAAAATTATATTACAAACTCCACAGCCCTACTCAAGTAATGATTTGGCATTCTGTAGATTTTTTTCTTGGAGAGCAATGCCAATCTTTTTTTCTTTCATAAAGATTTGTTTATTTATTTGAAAGGCAGAATAACTGAGAGGGAGATGGAGAAGGTGGGTAGGGAGGAAGTAGAGGGGAGAGGGAGAAAAGGAGAGGAAAACAGAGAGCAACAGCGACAGCGACAGAGACAGACAGAAAGTACGTTAGTTTTCCATCCACTGGTTCATTCCCCAAAGGCTGAAAGCCAGGTCAAGGTCAGGCTGAATCCAGGAGCCAGGAACTCTATCCTGATTTCCCACAGGGACACATGAATGGCAGGGGCTCCAGTACTTCCCACGTGTAGAAGCATGAAGAATTGGAGGCAGAGCAGCTAGGACTCAAACTGGTACTCTGATATGAGATGTGAGTGTACCAAGAAGGGATTTAACCCACTGTGGCAGAATTCTGGCCCCAATATCAACCTTAAGATGCAAATAAATTGGGGGGTGAACCAATGGAAAAGGAAGACCTTTATCTCTGTCTCTCTCCCTGTCCACTCTGCTTGTAAAAAATAAATAAATAAATAGATGCAAATAAATTAAGATTTATTTTTAGCAACTGATCATTAGACTTGAACTCTAATATAAAAATAAACATCTTAAAGGTTTAGTTTTAAATAAAGAAGTTCCAAAAAAAAAAGAAATTCCAAAAGTGAAGATCTTACCTCTTGTAAAATTTTTTGTGCATCTTCTTGTGTTTCAAAAGTGACGAAACCATACCTAAATAAATGCATTAATTATTATTAATTATTTTCTCAGAACATTACATTAGCTAGGTTGAAATTAAAATAATTTTTTAAAAGAATGGGCCACTGTGGTATAAACATCTTTCTCTGCTACACCAGCACAGCAATCATAGAAGAATTATTCACAGCTTAAAACTGTCACCTCTTCTAAGTGTAAGAGGACTAAAAAAAAAAAAAAAAGAAGAAAACAAACCAGAGATCTGCAATCACTTCAGCCCTAAGTTATATGTAAGGTAGAAAGGCATGAGAAATTCATGTTATATATTACAAACTGAAATGCAATGAATTCAGTCCAGAGCAATAATCTCCTTTAAAATAACATGTTTGGCTTAAGTGAAGGAACCAAAATAGAGAAAAAGATTTAAATTTTTAACACAGTATTACTTAAATTGGTAAATTACTATAGAACTGCATTATTTATTATTAACACATACAACTGATAATATATTAGTGTACTAGTATATTTCCTAAATAATATCAATTAAAAACATGTACAACTCCAATTTTATATCAGCTTTTCATTTGATTGTTACTTTCAAGAACCAGTCATACAGCGTTCAACATAAAAATACAAATACATGATGTATAACATGTTCAAAAATCCAACAAGTAGAGAAAAAACAAAAATTTACCAAAGCACATATTTCTATTTATTTTTCATATATTTCTAATTAGATAACTCTTTTGAGCAATGCTAAATATCATTACTACTATTTTTTCAATTCATAGTTACCGTATCATATATAAAATTTCCTTTTAACAAAAGAAGTTCTCTTTGTTTGCCCAAACATTAACCAAGAGTTAAGAAATTAGTTTTACACTAAATATTTGGTAGAACACACACACCACCCAGTGGAAAAGGCATTAAAATGCAGTTTATATTTCCATGTGTGTTTTTGAATGATTAAAAAGTAGATACTACCAAAACATTACAATTTTTTTAGCCAAACAAAAGAGGTACAATATCACTTCATCTTAACATTGTTCCACATTCTGAGAAAGTATTTCATCTGTTTAAAAATAACTTCTCTCTAGGGTCTCATCTTTTTCCAAAGTATTCACTGTTATACTTAAATGCCTTTTCTCACTGATAGTTTCTACTGACACCTCATTGGTCCCTTCTCGTAACCTGTTAATATGTATGTTTTTCCTCTCCTGGAAAAAAAAAATCCTCCATTGATTTCCACTGATTTACCTACTTTTCTTTTAACTTTGCAGACTTATATGAGTACAATTATCGAAACTACTTCTTTCCTCTCTGAAATCTGGCTTTTCTACACATTCTTGATGGTGTACTGCTTTCTTCTCAATTTTCATTCCCTTTGATATGACAATTTAAAATAATTCTTTTACAGTTCTTATATATATTCATCTCTTAATTAGGTCTCCTTGGGGTTAACTGTTTTCTCAAAAAGCTCTTTATATTCTAAAGCAGGGATACAATTTCTAAAGCATCGGAACCCTTTAGTTTCCAGTTCTTTTGCAACTGTTTGATATTTCAAGATTAAATGTTTGCAGCCTAACACTGAATGGGTCCCCAGCCCATGGAAGAATAACTTCCTAACAAAATAAGGAATATTACAGTCTCCCCTCTGTCCAATCCCTTACTGTCTCAAGAACAATAGGAGGTCAAAGGTACGAGGAAAGAAGAGGGCATGAAATTCTCTTAAAAATAGAACCACAGTTAATTAGCATACAAATCCTGTATTCCAACAGAAATTCTTTATACTATCTGTAGTGATACTAACCCTTTGGACACTCCAGCTCTGTCATTTACAATCTTCACTTCTTTTACAGACCCATACTGGGAAAAAAATTTTCTTAAATCATTTTCATTTGTCTAATAGTATAAAAAGAAAACATTAAAACATTTTAATTGACTGATAAGAGACAAAACAACTTATGTATATTTTGTAGATAGAAGTTGTAAATATATATAACAAATGTCTATTATCACCAAAATAGTGCATGAAGCCACGAAGCTATTAAAATCAATATATGTACTTTGCTTTATGCAATAGATAGGTGGTTACACTATTTTATATAAATAAAAAATTTTAAGCTGAATTGTTTTAAATGACAAGGAAAATTTACTGTTTAAGAGAATATTTAAGTTATTCTTGTTCTCTAGTTGCCATTTTTTTTAAACTTGGATTAGACATGTTATGACCATAGTAAAGGTATATTACTATTGGCTCTTATGGCTCAGAAAGGCCAACAGTCACAGCAGGGGAAACTATGTTATGTTGGACTATACTTCTCTTTTTTTTTTGTTCTTTTAGTATTTTATTTTTAAAAGATTTATTTATTCACTTGAAAGTCAGAGTTATATAGAGAAAAAAGGAGAGGCAGAGAGAGAGAGAGAGAGAGGGAGGGAGAGAGAGAGAGAGGTCAGTCTTCTATCCGCTGGTTCACTCCCCAGATGGCTGCAACGGCCAGAGCTGCGCCAATCCGAAGCCAGGAGCCAGAAGCTTTTTCCGGATCTCCCATGCAGGTGTAGGGGCCCAAGGACTTGGGCCATCTTCTACTGCTTTCCCAGGCCATAGCAGAGAGCTGGATCAGAAGTGGAGCAGCCGGGAATTGAACCGGCGCCCATATGGGATGCCGGCACTGCAGGCGGGGGCTTTACTCTTTACTCCACAGCGCCAGCTCCTTCTCACTCTATTTTAATCAGCACAGTCTTTAGGATGAGTCAGGTTTTAGGAAAGGAAAATATTTCTGAAAATGCTTGAACTCACTGTAGTAACAACAGTGATTACAGGACTTAAAGTTACTAGATACTGGTACAGGTGTTTGAGCTAGTGCGTAAGCCACAGGTTGGGACACTTGCATCCCATACTGGAGAGTTTAGGTTCATGTCCTGACTCCACTCTCAATTTCAGCTTCCTGCTAATGTGCAGGCTTGGAGGCAGCAGGTTGATGACTCAAGTAGTTGGGACTCTGCCACTTATGTGCAAGACCTAAATTGAATTCCTGGCCCCTGGCTCTGACTTGGCTCAGCCCTTGCTGTTGGGGGCATTTGGGAAGTGAATCAGTGGATAGGAGCTCCCTCTGTCTATGTGTGTCTGCCTCTCAAATTGATAAATTATTACTTTATTTGTATCCAATGTACATTTCAGCCAAGTATAGGTATTATGATGATACTCAGAATAAATACTAGAATCATAATTAGACTTGAAATGGATAAGATCTAAAAATATGGTGTTAATTGAGATAGTCTGTTGACAGGTCATCAACTTTTCCCAGAGTATTCACACTAAATTAACTGCAGTGTCATTTTCTGGTTCAGGTGTATCTGTTTGCCTCTAAGAATAACTTAAAATTTCCATAGAAAAATCATTTCTAGGTAAGACATGGCTTACAGCATAGCCTTTTGAGTTCACCTGCTACTTCGTTACTTACCTACACTATTGGTTTTTAAGATAGTAACATCAAGTCTGCTAAACTGGATGATGACAAATACTGAGTTAATCTGGAATAAGTGAATACTTTATTTGATAAAGATAAAATAAAATTTGTACTATAAAAGGAATACTATTAGGGATCTGAAGACAACTCAAATATTGTCTTATAGAAGATTCATTAGCTCAGTTTTGCAGTTCTGCAAGGAGACAGGATTGAAGATGATTAAACATTAAGAGCAATAGTCTGTAGGTTTCTAAAAATACAAGGTTTAAAATGTCAGAGTTTGCTTGCTATTACGATAAACTATTTCCTTGCTGGCATTTATCTATGGTGTTGAAAAAGGTGTAAATATAAAGTAGGGAACCCTAGCAGTTACTTTAAAACTATGGTTGCATTTTACCAATGGCTTTTTTTTTTTAGCTTTAGAAGAAAGGAATTTATTGAGGCATTAGTGATTAGAAACATCGGAAAAGCGAAAACAAAGCAAAACAAACAAACCAAAAAAAAATCCCACTCCATCCAGACTTAAAAAATGGCTTCTAAAGGTATGCCACATTGTTTATATTCCAATAATGATGATTAAAAGGAAATAATTCTCATGAATTAATACTTATATGTGATCAGGGAGCTAACTGACCAATATATTGTTGACCTTATTAGCAAGTTTCTGTCATATCTGGGAAGATATGATCAGTCTTTTGACTTCTATCACCAGAGACTGTGCTCATTTGATTCATGAAATTTCAGTCACCTCCAGGATTCAAGGAACAAGAGAATCTGGTTATCTATTGTTACTGTCAAAAACGATCACAAACTTTAAAAAAAAGAAAATGTATACTGTCACCATTTGAAGAATGAAAGTGAAATCAGTTTCTCTGGCTCAAGCTGAAATGCAGGGAGGTCTGTACTCCATCCAGTATCTAGATAATCTCTTCCTTGCTGTTTCCAGCTTCTGGTAACATCTGTCATTATGGTTACATCGTCTGCCTTCATGGTGACATAGATTTTCATTTGCTTTGAGTATAAACTTCCTTTTGATCAATGGCTTTCAAAGTTCATATTGTAGCTGATGGGCTTTGGGAATCTAGAATAACTGACTGTTCAAATGTTTATATTTATTGATGATTTATTTTAAAAATATACTAAGATATTGTAAGATAAATTAATTCTGAATAAGAATATCCAAATTGACTATTTCCGGTCAGCCATTAATGTTTTCCACAGACACTAAAAATCTTTAAAAGTAAACATTTTATAAGAAATAGTTTTTTAGTGAAACAATGTACTTGCTTAAGGTCTACTATTTTTGCAAATATCCTTAGTGTAACATTTCTATTAAGCAGAAGAATAGTAATTCTACTCAAATTGTGACAGACTGGTTATCACAAATAGTGAGTTATATATGTCAAATATCTAATGGGATAGGACTTTTTTTGGTTAAAGAAAGAAATCTATCTGTATAATTTCAATGGTAATTTCTCTGAAATATGAAAGCTTGGAAATCCTTCCATGTTTCCATTTGGAAGTAAGGGTATTTCATTTAAAATATTCATGCATGCCTTTCTTTTAGATTTTTACTCCTACCTTCTACTTGGGGAGCACTATAAATCATCTCACAAATTGCCTCTCTGAAAGACTTTAATGGCTGATTACATGATTTAAATATATTACTGAGATGCTTTATTCTGACTATGACACAGGTCTTTTGGTTATCAAATTTAAGAGCTATCACAGAAAGTAATTTGCAAAAGATGGAAGTTTAGGTGTTCACTCAGTAACCTGAGATAAAGGTTGGGATAAAGGAGAAAGTTTCTTTCTTTCTTTTTTAAACTTGATTTTTTTTTTGAGAATTATAATCACCCATTATTTCAGCTAGTGGAATATAATGGAAGAAAGTATAATTAGTGAAATTTGGGGATGTGAAGAACATGGAGGTATGAATCAGAAAACTGAGATACTAGTTTCACTGTGCCACGAAGTTGCTACAGACCTACAGCAAGTCAATTAGTGTCAATTTCTTTGTATGTGAAACTGGATAATTATATGTGTTTTATCTAACCTAATTATTGAAAAGATTCTTTATATTAAGACAATTTGAAACCAGTGAGTCACTACATAAATGTTGTTTTTAATAGTTGCATAAAGAAACAATTTCTGAGAAAATAATTTCTAAAGAAAAAAATGTACTATGTTGTATATATAAGTGGGTACCTTAAAGTCAATTCCTCCTACAAAGATGCGATTAGGGATCACTGTTCCATATCTTGGGGCACTTGTTGGGTTATTCAAAGGCACAGGTGACACAGGATTAGGGGACGGAGATAATGAATCTGTTTGCGTCTGGTTTGATGTTTGCTGTAAAACAAAACTCTTTTAAACTTTCAGCACTTTTAGTATTGATGCAGGCTGATAATTCAAAAGTATGAGTCATTTAGGCACTAATATGAGGATCATAATTAGAACTTGGGGCAACAAAAATATAGGAAACAGAACCTTCTCCACTTTTAAGAAGATATTATTAAATATTATTTAAATATGGCTGCATTACTATCAAATATATTATTTAATTATTAAGGAGGAACATCAAACTTTTAAAGAAGTTTGAGAAACAGAAGAGTGGTTCCAAACTTTCAGGAGCTGGCTTGACACAACCAGCTTGGTGCTAGTATTGTTAGGAGCTGGCCTGGTACTCATAGCAAGGCAATGGTATTTTTTTGTTAACAGAACACCAACATCAGACAAGGTCACATTGCAACTGTGATGGATTAAGAAAAAAAACCAAAATCCCATAATCATGTCTGAACATTAACAAAAATAAAAGCATTGCCAAACATCTTTCCATCCTGGTTGATATGAGCGACTGCTCCTGTTACATCAATTACAGTTTTGGCCTTGACCGATTTTTCTTGCCTTTTTGATATGAATTAACATAATCATAGAAATACTTCCATTTCTTGACAACATGTATTCCTGAGTAAAGCTCTTCTTTCTTCAGAACTGTCTAAAATGCTTAGCAGAAGCCCAAATTCTGTAAGTTCTTTCTAGCACACTCTGACTGAAAGACCCCCATGGAGTGTATTCTTTCTTGTTCTTTCAAAACAGACTCAACTTTATAGAACTATAGGGGTGTTTCGGTTGCTATCTGGCTACAAGGCATAGACAACTTAATAAATGCTGACATTAAGATTAACCATTTTTGGCTTCAAAGTCAAAATATTCAATGTAATTGTCAATTTCAAGATTGGACTTTGTAAAAAATTATGTAACTATATCTCATCAGTATAAAATTTTTATACCAAAGAATTGAGCTCAGTAGCATCCAGATGTTAACAATTCTAAGTCAGAGTACCCAATTTAAAGTTCAATAAACATATATTAAAATATGCCTCTTTACAATGGGAAGATTATAATAGACTTTTAAGGTTACAACTGAAAAAAAAAAAAGACTTGGCCATAGAGTTTTTAAGAGAAACTGATTCAAGAACTTACTTGCCTCCTGTGAACACTAAACAGACTTCTAACTATCCAGTGTTAAGCAGGAAACACATGTATATCCCCTACCTTGGGAGTTTAAATTTTCTTTTAAACCACAGATAAGCCACCACACTTACTAATTACTATGTTGTAGCTTTCAGTTATAGGAATTCAATTAACAGTTTCCTCTCTGGACACTTGGAGATTATTTGTAACTTTATTTTACTCAATAGGACACAGTGCCCAGAATGCATGATTTTGGGATGCTTAGATTTATTTTTTCAACTGGATCTGTATTGCTAGAGATAATATAACAGCTCTAGCAGATATAACATTGTCTCTTTGTCCACTGTTTACAGCTTGTAGAACTTACCTATTTGCTAAATTAAAAAATTAGTCTTCAAAAGATTCTTAATTCTAAAAACAAAGAGTTCAATGGATGCACTCATTTATTCTCGACTGTGTTTAAGAGACAAACTCTAATATTATTTCATTTAGAGGATGAAATGAATATAAGTGAACAGAGTGCTTTATTTTTAATCTTGAGAAGTGAAAGGATACCCACTGGGAAAAGAGACACATCAACTTTTTATACTCAATTCACTTCATTCTCCAGAATCTAAGTTTCCTGTTCTATTGTGTGTTCCAAATACTTTATTTTTCTCCTTATCACTTATTTTATAACGCATGATATACTCGTTACATTTATTATCTGTTTCTTGCTGCTATAATGTAATTAACAGTCACGAGGGCAGTTTTCGCCTCCCTTTATCATCAGCAAGCACTGAAGGCAGTGAGCTTTCATAGCAGATGCGCGATGAATATATTTTGAACGAAAACATAAACCAATAAAGTTACTTCTCTAGGAGTGACCCGCTCACGGTATGTCGAACATCAGGCTGAGGGCTGGAGAGTACAGCATGAAAAAAATAGCCTAGAAAATAGTTTATAATGTTGGCATTATAAAGCTCAAGTAGAAGCAAGAGCTTTGTTCCTTGTTTAAGGTTAGAGCCCCAATTGGCTTAAACAACAGAGCGCCGCACATTCCGCTGGCGATCACTTTCCAAGCGTAGGGAAGTACCGAGGTAGGGTGTCCTTGGGGCGAGAAGGGTCTTCCGCTCAGTAAAACGTGCCCTCATTGCCGCCCCCCCTCGAGAAGCGACCGCTAACCCTAGCCTCTACTCTGCAAACCGGGACCGCGGGATGAGGGCGGGCTAACCGTCGCAGTCACGGCCTCGTAGCTCCTTCCCCTGCGAGGCCAGCAAGCGGAGGCGCTGGGGGAAAAGGCCGCGGCAACGTCCTCGGGTTCTCTCGGGTCATCGTGAACCTGGCCAGTGACACGAGGATCCACTCCCTCCCCACCAAAGTGCGGGAGGGAAAAGAAAGCCAACCAGCGAGAAATTTTGCCCTGCAAACCCGCCAGCAGCAGTGGCGGGAACCCTCAACGGCACCGAGCCCGCCGTCCGCCGCGTGCGCAGCCGGCCGCGGCCCTTGCGTGGCGCGCCCCGATTGGCTGCCGGCGGGGCGCGGGGCGGGGCGAGGCAGCACGTTGCCCGGGTGCCTCGGGCCTGAGCGGCCCCGCCGCCCGTGTCCGGCCCCGTCCGGTCCCGCCCGGCCGAGCCCGGCCCCGCCCGGCTCTGACTGGCTCGGGCGTGCGCCCCGTGCTGGCTGGTCCTAGAGTGTCCAGGTCCGACGTGGGCCACAAGCGTTCTCCCCCGCCCTCCGGCCTCCCCCGGCCTCTCAGTCCCTTTGGTCCCCGCTGGCCACCCGAGGTGTCGAGGCGTCGACTGCCCCGACAACTGGTCGTGGGCAGCTGCATGGAGTCGGGCAGGAGCGAGCGTCAAAGACGCGGCCGAACCTAATTTCGGCGGGAAAGCGGTTTCCCTGCCTGGACGCCGCCGGCTGCACGGCGCCCAGCCATCCGCGGTGTCCCGAAGCCTCCCGGCCGTTTGCGGGGTTCCCTCAGGCCGCCTACGGCTAGTCCAGGCCAGGTGGCCGGTGGGCACCTTCTCGACCGCACAACGCAATACGACGGGGCGGTCGGACACCACGGCCACGTTTCTTCCCGACAAAATAGCGAGTGTTTGGGGTTGGAACTCTCGCCCTTCTAGTCCCTGAGGAAACGGGGTTCACGTTGCTCCTCCTCCCCGCCACCCCAGGGCTCGGGGCCCTGATCGCCATACTCACCGCCCCGTACTCGGTCTCCATCTTCTCCGTTCTTCAAAGCCGGGGAAGGGGGGAGGGGAGCGGGGGGGGGTGAAGGAACAGAACTCTAAAGTTTGAAAGCACTTTCCCACCCAGGAAGCAACACCACGTTTCACGATTGGAACTGTCTTCCCCCTGGCGGAGGCGGCAGCTGTGGCAGAAACGGGGCGCAGGCTCGGACCCGGGGCCTGAACTTGTCACCTGGGGGGCGGGGAGGGTCAGGAGGCGTCGCCGCGGTACCGCAGTGCGGGCGGGCGCCGCAAGCCGCGGTGGGGCGCGGGCGGGCGGGTTTCGGCTGTGTGTGCTGTCGCCCAGCCTGGACGTCTCCGGCAGAGCGCGCAGCAAGTCCAGGCGGGCGTGCGGTGTGCGGATCGCGGGCTCTGCTGTGGGACCGCTCTCGCCTGCTCTCAGATGGCTGGCGAGGACAGCGCCAACGATCATGCAAAACTCCATGCACCGCACGCCTTTCCTTCTCTTCCACTTTGGGACTGGTGAGTTTCCAGAGTTTGAAGTGACCTCGAAGCTTTACTAAGGTGCAAGAAGCTTGTTGAAGGGGCGCTCCCGAAGACCTGTGCAAGGCGAGGAAGGCTGTTTCTAGACTCAAACTTTGACCCCTGAGGCCTGACGAGCCAAACTCGGGGGCTCCCGAGGAGTCGCGGACGCCGCGCTGCACCTGTTGTAGCTGTCACTCATTCCCGCGGGGCAGGGGGGTAGGGTGGCGCGGGCGGCTTCGTCAGGATCCGCTGAGCAGCCCCACTGGGCTCTGGCGCCTCCCCAGCCCGCACCCTGAGCCGCTCCCGCAGGCTCCGACTCAGCTGAGCGCCGCCTGGGGAGCCAGTCCGGGACGCAGCTATAGGCGCGGGAGGAGGCGAAGGTCGTGCGACCAGGGTGGAGTGCTGCCCTGGCCTCCAGCGGCCTTGAGATCTCCTTGGAAGGAAGATGGCCTTGTAAAGAGTATTTCTAAAAGGTAATCGTTATGAATTTCATCTATATAAATATATGTAATAATGGTTATTATCGCAACTGTCATTTATCCTGTTCCAGTTCTCATATCCTTGAGACATCAGGCACAGTGGTTTATGACCAATATCACATAATCATTATCATAATCAACAATAATCAATATCAATGTCATAATATTATATAATCAATATCACATCCTCACACAACATTTTAGACAGATCCCCTTATTAAAAAAATCACGGGTAAAAATATTAAATGGCAAGAAATATAGGATTAGGTTTTATACTAAATTTTCCAGGACTTCCATAACAAAATGCCACAAACTCCGTAGCTCAAAAGATCAAAATGTATTTCTCTTCTCTTCTCTTCTCTTCTCTTCTCTTCTCTTCTCTTCTCTTCTCTTCTCTTCTCTTCTCTTCTCTTCTCATTTGAAAGTCAGTTACACAGAGAGAGGAGAGGCAGAGTGAGAGAGGTCTTCCATCTGATGGTTCACTCCCCAATTGGTCGCAATGGCCGGAGCTGTGCCGATCCGAAGCCAGGAGCCAGCAGCTGCTTCCAGGACTCCCACGCGGGTGCAGGAGTCCAGGACTTGGGTCATCTTCTACTGCTTTTCCAGGCCACATCAGAGAGCTGGATTGGAAGTGGAGCAGCCGGGACTCGAACCGATGCCCACATGGGATGCTGGTGCTTCAGGCCCAGGCGTTAACCTGCTGCGCCACAGCGTCGACCCCAAAATGTATTTCTGTATGATGCTGGAGGCTGGAAGTCCAAAATCCTGGTGTCGACAAGGTTGGGATCCTCTGAAGCATCTTTCCTTGCTTACAGGGACTGGCTTCTCTCTGTGTGTTCACAGAGTCTTTCCTGTGGTGTGTGTCTGTGTCAGATACTCTTGTTATAGTATTACAGGTCATTAAACAGAGGTTTGGAGGCTAATTTGGTCAAGGTCTAAAGGTACAGTAGATTTAACCCTGATCTCTAACCATCGTTTTTTGTCTTATCCATTTTGCCATTTGATTTTTAAAGAATCTACAGCAACATTTGTTAACATTTACATCATTAATAACTTTTGTACTCTCTATTGTTAAAGTTTGGCTTTGGGTTATTTTACTCCCAAAGTAAAGGTTTAAAAAATAATCAGAGTGACTTTATTGATTTTTAATTTGTTCAAAGGTTAGCTCTTCATATTATTTGCCAAAACATAATGGGATAGGTAGTCTTTGTTCATTTTAGATGGAGCATCCTAAAAGTCATTATACATTTCTGCATGCAATTTAAGTTCATTTATTCAGGTTTTAGTTTCTGTGGAAACACTATAAGTCCATTCATATTAAAAATCACGTTCTAGATCATAATAAAGCATAAATAAATACATAAAGTACTTCTGTTCAATACCATTGTAACTGGAATTTGTACATTTTGTTTGCTAACAGTAATGATGGATTTGAGTAGTTATTACTATACTCTTTTTTGCTGAAGTTTTTCCAACCAGGATTATTTATTTATGATGGCTGCATTGTCTACAGCATATTTATTCAACACAATTTTTGTTCAGTCTGATTCACCTTAGCAAAATTTAGGAAATGTCAGCTGTATTCCAAGGCCTGGGTTGGATGCTAGGGAGTATATTTTATTTACAGTATGATAATTCACTGTTCTGTTTCTAACTCTTTTCATTCTTATACCAAAAGAAAATTTTGATTTTAAAGCCTGTATAAATCAGTGTACAATTATATAATTCAGTTCAACTCAATTGACTATAAATATTCCTATTATATGCTGCATGCTGCTATGGGAGATAAGAAGACAAGAATGCATTTCTTATTCTCAGGTATTTTAATTCTGGAAGGGGAGAAAAATTACTTAAAGTAGTAATTATATCTACATGTGCTTCTACTAAGTAAAAATATATGCAGAATATGCTAAATGGTACATGAACTATAAGCAAAGGTCTGTGGAAGCACAGAGATTAGCATCATGGAGCTCAGATGCTGATCTGGGCAGAAAAATGGGAGCGGAACGATGTTGAGCTCCTATTATGTGCTGAATATTGAGCTAGACGTTTTTCCAGAAAATGTTTTAGACATCTTCTTATTTATTTGTTTACTTATGTGTTTATTTATTTAGAAAGGCAGAGAGGAGAGAAAGAGAGAAAGAAAAAGAAAGAGAGAGAGGGACACACACACATATGAGAAGAGTATCTCTCATCTTCTGGTTCATTCCCCAAATGTCCACAAGAGCCCAGGCTGGGTCAAGTGGAAGCCAGGATCCAGGAACTCAATCTGAATCTCCCCATGAATAGCAGGGACCCAACTACCTGAGGGATCACTGACTGCTTCCCAGGCTATACATTAGCAAGAGACTGGAATTAGGACAGAGATGACATTCCAACCCATGCCCTCCAATATGAGTTGTGGATATCCTAAGCAGCATCTTGATTGCTGAGTCAAATGCTCACCCTGACACATTTAAAAAAAATCTCTCATCAGAAATCAGAAACTTAAGAGAGGTAAAAATGATCCTGTTTTTAAAAAAGAGATTTATTTATTTATTTTGAAAGAGTTATAGAGACAAAGGGAAACACCCCCCACCCCCCACCCCCAACACACACACACAGAGTAAGAGGGAGAGGGGGAGAGAGAGAGCGAGCGAGAGAGAGGGAGAATATTTTTGATCTGCTGGTTCACTACCCATATGACTGCAAAGCCAGGAGCTAGGAACTTCATCCAGGTCTCCCATATGGGTGACAGGGCCATCTTCTGCTGCTTTTCCCAGGTCATTAGCAGAGAGCTGGATTGGAAGTAGAGAAGCTGGTACAGGAACCAGAGTGACCATATGGGATGACAGTGTTGCAGGTGGTGACTTTACCTACTGTAATGCCACAATGCTGGCCCTGGGTAACAGTGACTCTTATAGTTACATTGCTAGTAAATGGATGTTGTTTTCAAAACTTAATTCTATTTGACTTCATTGCCTATGCTCAGGGCACTCTGCCATGTTATTTATACCATAGCAATAAGTAGTTAGAATTGTATTCTGGAGACCTTTGCAAATAGGGGGCCATTGAGAATTACTGAACCAGGAAGTTCTATAGTCCAAGCCAAAATTTAGGAAAATATTTTCAGATCAGAGAAAAGTTTTTGAGGGACAGAGATGGGAAAAATGATTTAATTAAAAGAAGGAAATGGATCAAGTGAAAATGAGCTTTGTTCAGGTAACAGGAGTGAGAATGAAATACTGATAATGAACTAAGGAGTTACCAGTGAGGAGGGAGACTTTGGGGCGTGGGTGATTGTGGAGATGGGCTGTTGAGGATCATCCAAAACTCTATTTTGTTTCCAGTGGGTATGTTGATTTTTAATTTTAACTATTTTCTCCCATTGATTTTCACATCAGTAGTTTATAAGAATGCAGATTTCTTCTCATCCTTCTTATTCTGTGAAGCTTGTAATCTGGTGAAGGGGAAATCTAAAAATCACTTCAGTTGCTTCCATAGCTTGATCATGTGAATAATTATGAAATGAACATGGGAGTTTGAATACCTCTTCAATATATTGATTTCAGTTCCTTTATATATATTCCCAGATATGGGATTACTGGATCATAGGGTAATTTTAATTTTAGGCTTTTGAGGAAACTCCAATCTGTTTTCCAAAATGGCTGTCTGCTTTGGTGAGAACTACTAAACTCAGCGGACATGTAATTCCCAAAGTCATGAGTTAATGTTACAGGGATGATGGATCCATTTAATCCAAATATGGCTCTTAGGAAGTAGGCTTAATATGAGATCTTTGGGTCACTGGAACATGACCAAGTGGAAGGTAACTTTTGGGAGAGGATTGGTTATAAAAACTGAGTAATGGCTCACCATGTAATCCGTCCTCCATGTGTGTTTCATCATCAGGTGGTAAATCAGTGAAGCACTTTATTTGGATTGTGAACCTCCCAAACTGTTAGCCAATGTAAACTTCCCTTCTTAAGTAGCCTGTGTTAGATATTTCATGATAGTGATGAAAGAATAACTAATATATTCTATCAATTTATATACCCACAAATAGTGTACTAGGGTTCCATTTTCTCCATATCCTCACCAGCACTTGTTATCTTTTTGATAATAGTTAATTCTAACACATGTGAAGTGATATTTTCTTGTGGTTTTAA